AGTGGGCTACCACAGAGCACCCGGGGGCATCATCAGCAATGAGGACTGGTCCTGACATGGTTCCTCTGGTTGTCCACTGTGATGCAAGTTTTGGGGAGAGGCTCCTCAGGTGAGGCCCGGGGGTTTGAGCACTTTGCACTCTGCCAGTACCACCAAGTGTGGCTGGTTTCGTAAATTCAGAAAATGACTGATGTCCAAAGGACTGAGAAAGCTTTGGGCTGTTCCTATAGCGGGCACATGGCTAGTCAATGGTCAAGTGTTGAAGAGGATCCAAGTGATGCGTTTTCTGATAATTCTGATAGAATCCAGAGATTCTTCTGTCCAGCTCCGGGTCTTAAATATTCTCTTGGAGAAATGTATATGGTGATTGATAAGACGACCAGAGAGCCAAAGCAGAGAAGTGTGCTGAGAAACATACTCAAGACTGACTGAAAGAATGTGTTCTATAAAAAAGTGTGAAAATATGCCATCATAGGTTGGGAAGGACTCTACTTTCTTTAGACTGGGTAAACCTGTCCAGTGCTCTTCATGCAACAAAGGGCCCTGTGTGCTTTTAAAAGTCCCAATCTGTTAATTCACGGGTTTGGGCTTGTTGTAAAGCAGGCTCCCCACTTTGGGAAGGCATCCCCACAAACTTTCAAGGGGTTTTGCTTGCAGTTGTAGGTTATGATTGGTTCACCAAGAGCTCAGTTCCCACCGTGCTGGTCAGCAAAACTCCCCTAGAAGACCCCACAGGGACTATCCTCTGCTTCTGTCGGCCTCCTCTGCAGCTGGCCTTACTGGCACCTCACAGCTGGCTGGTCTCAACCCTCCTCCTTCCCCACCGATGTTTAAGAAGCAGGAATCAAAAGATAGAGGATGGAGGGACTCACCTCCAAGGGTAAGTGGGGAGGAGTGAATGGACCAAGGATAAAGCCAGAAATGAGCTGAAAAATTCCAGAAATGACAAGTCAGAGAACCTGCTAGGCTGTGACTGGAACGGTAAGACCAGGAAAAGCATTGACTCTTGAGGTTGCTTCCTACTCTCTTGCAGATTGGCTGTGTGGACCAAATGAGGTTCTATCTGTCAAGCACCAGGGCCAGCCCTAACGTTAGTGCCTTTCTGAACCCTGTGGCCTAGCAGCCTCTGTCAAAGCATCCTCCCTGCCATGCATCACATCTCCACGCCTCTGTGTCTGTGCACGACCAGGATGTTCTTCTCCTTCTCCATCTGGAGAAAATGCCTGCTCCAGGAGACCCAGCCCTGAAGTCAGATCATCCCTGACTACATCAGGAAGTCAGTAGCAGGGTTCCATGCCCCCATGTTATTTGTCACCCTGTGTTGTGATGATGTTTCCACATCTGTCTCCCCAAACTGTACTGAGAGCTTCTCACTCATCTTCATGCCTTCCTGGTCTTTCCTGATGCCAGTACCTTCCTGAGGACAGGGGTGCTCAGGAAATAGGTACTGAACAAACAAACAAACAAACAAACAAATGTTCTATGGCCAAAGTGGAAAACAATGCAAGTAGAAGGAAATAAGATTTCCTGTGGGTTTGGAAACAACTTTATTTTTGTGTTCAAACAATCAATATTGTAGTCTACAAATGTGAAACACACTCCATTGAGAAAGATATTTTATTGTTAGGAAAGGGGCACAAGAGGATAGCTCCACAACATAACTTCCTGAAAATTTTCAAAGAACACTCTGTTGGACAATTTTGCTGAAGAGCCTCTCCCTGATGGTCTGTCCCTTAGTCTCTGCCCTTTTTTGGCCATGTAGTCAAAGGGCTTCTTTATGAACAAAGTGAGATATTTATTTTTGTTTTCTTGAATTCTGAAGTGATTTTCTTGAGTCACATGGGAGACAGTCCTCAGATGTTTAAGAAGTTCCCACTCCATTCCAGAAACAAATCAGGGAACCAAAAACTTAGCCAGATCCCACGTCCAGTGAAAAGCTAAAATCAAATCACGCTAACAATTTCAAAACTAACTAAATCCAAAACTAGCTTTAAAACTAAACGACTCTAGAGGTCAGGGTGCTGGTTATTAGCCTTGATTTCTTAGCTTTCAGCCCACCCTTCTAATCTCTGCTTTGTGGGCTGGGGCCACTCACCTCTTTTGCCAGCTGTTCCCTGTGAAGCCTGGCCAATAGAGCAGACTGACCAGAGGACAGAAGGGGGGAGAGGGACCTCTGTGCACCTGAGTTCCTGTCGGCATCCGCCTAGCAACTGGTCTGCACTCTGAGAGCAATATCTGGTTTCAGTTACCAACCCCCACCTGCCCGCCTGCTTCAAAGACACCAGCACCAGCTGGCAGCTCCCAGACTAACTTCCAGCTCCTGGGACACCTGTCCTATGGGGCAGCACTTCCTCCTCAGAGGACTAACCCCAGCTATGCAAGGCCACCTCCAATTTCTTCCTTTTGCTCCCTCAGCCCTTGGGCTGGTAGCAGCTTCTTGCAGTTAACATCTCCATGTATCACATTATCACTTTTTTCCCTCTTAAACTCTCCAATATCTGGATAACAATTCTTTATACTAAATTCTGTGTTAAAATAACTGATGTCATGTCTCTCTTTTGTTTGGATCCCCTAGACAAAGTAATTCTAATATTAAATAATTCTGAAAATAAATCTGAAAATGAAAGAAGTAAAAATACAGAACAGAAAAAAAAATTTAAGTGGCAAAGATGTAACTGAAAAGTAATAATTGAGAATAAATAACTGAAAATAAATCAAAACTAATATCTCAAAACTCTGAAAATGAAAAATTCAGGAAATATAATGTTCAAAAATGCAACAATTGAAAATAAAATAATTTAAAACCAAATAACTAAAAGATAATTAATAAATGAATATAAAAATAAACAACCCCACTCTAAAATAACGAAAAATAACTGTGACTATAAATAACTAAAACTAACAAGAGAAAAACTCTAAAATAACTAAAAACACTTTTTTCTGAAAATAATTCAAAAATAATTTTAAAACTTCCAGTGAGGGGCGCCTGCGTGTCTCAGTCATTAAGCGTCTGCCCTCGACTCAGGTCATGATCCCAGGGTCCGGGGATGGAGCCCCATGTCAGGCTCTCTGCTTAGCATAGGGTCCGCTTCTCCCTTTCCCTCTGCCACTCCCCCTGCTTGTGATCTCTCTCTCTCTGTCAAATAAAAAAAAAAAAAAAAAAAAAAAAAGAACTTGCAGTGAATTTTTAGTAGCTAAATAAGTAATAAAATATTTATAAACAAGTAACTTTAAAGCTATAAAATGAAATAACTAGAAAACTAAAAATAGAGGTTAACTAAAAATTAACTAATATAACGAAAAATAAAAAATAACTGAAAATAACTGAAACTAATTTTAAAACCAATAAATCTAAAACGAAATACCTCAGACATTAACTTGGAACCAACCCTCTCTGAAAGGATACAATCTTGGAACAAAGCAACACAAACACCACAGGAACGTTCTTGTGGGGATTCAGGGAGAAGAGCACAGGGCTGCCCCTGTAGAGTTTCAGCTCCTCCAAGGCTCGGGGAGGAGATTCTCAACGGATCTCCCCACTCCCGCCCAGGGAAAAAAAATGGCAACGTCTGAAGGCATTTTTGATTGTCATAATTTGGGTGAACGGGTGGGAGAGGGCTGTTACTGGCATCTTGCGGGAAGAGGCCAAGGATGCTGTGAAATATCCTACAATGCGTAAGACTGCCCTCCCCTCCCCGACATAGAATTCCCCAGCCCCCAAAGTCTGAGTGCAACGTTGAGAAACCTTGGGCAGAGCGGTCCAGGACTGGGCTTCGCTAACCTCTGCAGATGCGCGTAGAGCCGCTCCGGGGTTCGCGAGGTTCTCCGGAGTTCGCGGGGTTCTCCGGCGCTCGCGCAGGCGCTTGAACAGCCTCGAGGCTCGCCGGCCTCCACACCGAGTCCCCGCGCAGGCGCCTGTGGAGCGAGCTTGGGAGGTTGCGGGTCTCTCTGCCCACCGCCCGGAGGTTGCGCAGGCGCGTGGGGAGCAGCTTCCAGTTTCTCCGCGGCTCATACCTGGAGGGTGGGCTCCCCCGGCAAGCCGTGGACCCTTCCTTAGTCTTCTGGAAGGTGGTCGTGGCCCTTCCCCCGCGCCAGGGTGACAGATTCGGAGGGTCCGAGGCCCCTTGGCTGCTTTCTGTGTAAGGGTGGGCCGGGCCCCCAGCGGCCGCCGCAGCCTGTGAGCGGAACGAAGGCGGCCTGGGGGCCTCGGCCGAGCGGGGAGCCGCGGGGGTCTGGTACCAGTGTCAGTTCTCTGGGGAGAGGGTCCTCAGGCATCCTTCCCTCGCCCGCACTGCTTATGTCCGTAAGCTAGTTGTCCCCCGCCACCGCAGGGGCGAGCAAGCCAGTGGACCCTGGCTTAGTTTTGTTTGTTGTCCTGAAATTCAACAAGAGTCAGGGGAGCAACGGCTAACCAGTTCGCTTACTGTTTTTTCCTCTTTCACACTCACATGTCCTCATCGCCACCTTCTTTTTTCCCCTGGATGCTTTCTCCCGTTTCCGGGACAGATTTGGAGGTACACGTTTCATAACTGTCGTCCAACTGGAAAAGTCCGGAGAGCTGTAAGGGAGGGCACAGTGGTACACACTCAGAGTTGGCAATGCCGGGGAGTGCCCGAGCCCGGGCCAGGTGCGAGCAGTAATTCCCGGGGGCAGGTTGGAGCCCACCCTAGCTCTCCCACGTGGCCACGCAGGATTCCGGCAGGAGCCCCGTATTTATGATGAGAAACTAGTGCATTGCTAAGGAGACGGGGCCATGCTAGTCTGGGAGGGTCTGAGGCACTTTGCAGATTCAGTGACCTCAGCTTCTCGAGTTAGGCCTGGTCCTTCTGGGTGAGAATTATGAAAAGGGGGAGAGAGAGGAAACGGAGAGGAAGAGGCAGGAAGGAGAAGCTGATGGATAGGAATGAGGGAGAAAAATGAAAGAGGTAAGAAAAACATAAATTACACTCAGAGCACTGTTCTCCTTTTCCATTTCTTCTGCACCTTCAGTCTCCTCAGAGGTTTCCATGGAGATGAACTCTCTGCTGGAGCAGCCTTGGAGAAAGGGAAGAATTTGACCTGCTGTGTGGGGGAGGGGATGGCCGATGTTCCAGGCAGTTCCTGTCCCCAAGAACCCATTCTCCCCCATCTCTAACTCCCAATCTCCCAGGACCTGGACTGCCTCACCTTGGGGGCGGAAGTAGAGGTCTGTGATCTCCAGTTTCCCTCTCCCAGCTCAAAATTCTGTGAGTGTGTGTGACTGAGAAGACATGTCTACATGGTGCTCATAGTCCTACTCCTTGTCCTCCAAAAAAACGGTCATTGTCTTTTTGTGCTTGACGACCTTCCTGCCCTCCATCCTTCTTCCCTCCCTTCTTTTCCCCTTGCCCCCTTTTCTCTCCCCTGATTACTGCCCATTTCCCATTACCATGGTAACCTCTGTCACTGCTGTCCCCACGGGAAGTCAGAGAAGCAAGTACATCCTGCCTCTCTCTCCAATGAATTGATTCATTAATGGGCCAGTCATGTCACTGTGCACCTGTCATGTCCCTGGGGCTGCTAGACACTGAGGGGAACAGCAACACCCCAAACACTGAGCCACTCTTTTTGCCTGCTGGAGTGCCAGTCGGTCAAAAGTTAAGCTTCACATAACCCTGTAAGAGCTTTAGCTCCATTTCACAGATGAGAAACTGAGACGAGGGAGGAATAATCATTTGGCCAAGTTCTGTTGACTGAATGGCTGAGCGGCAGCTGAGTAATCCATCCCACAGGAATCTGAGTGTAGGACCAAGTTTCTGTTCAGGTGGAGATTGGGGTGAGGCCTTGAAGGGCATTAGCAGGGCATGGGGAGTGGGGGATCCTAGACACGGGAATCCCAAAGGAGCCTACAGTTGGGGGTGGTGGCACAGTTTTACCAATGAGCAGGAAGGGCACATGTGGGAACGCTTATACCTGCTGCCCAGAGACCTCCCAAGCTGCATTCTGGGGCCGAGGGCTCTCCCCAGAGCAGCCAGGCAGCCCCTTCCTGAAGGCCTCCAGGGACCCCACCTGATGCTGGAGGATTGTAAGGCAGCTGGACACAGTGCTCTCAGACTGCAGCAAACCTGGTTTGATTTCTAGTCCCAGGACATGGTAGGGTGAGGGGTTGAGGGTAGAGGAGAAACTGGTTCAGGGAACTGCCTCCCACTGCCCTCCCCCAGACAGGATTCAGGGGCATCCATCCACAGTAACACCCAGAGACATCTCTCTAGGGCAGTCATCCAACCCAGACCCCCTTACACCAGGGAGCAGACAGGGAGGATGAGGAATGGCAGTCTTGCTAAAAGGCTATAAGGGAAGACACTGGAGACATTGCTCTGGACCACCCTCTCCCCAACCCCCTGTCTGAACAGAAAGACGATGTCTCCAGGGTCCGTGGCCTCAGTGCCCCAGACAAAGCGGGGTGGGGGGGACCCCAGAGCCACCTGCTGGGAGGGCAGGGGTGGGGCCTGGCCTGAGGCCTCAGGCAACCATGGAGCACTCAGGGCCTGGGGGCGGCAGGACTGGGCGGCGATGGTGCAGCTTAGACACCTGACAGCCAGTTCCAGCCACTCTGCAGGAGGTGACACCTGGGTAAAATGACGACCAGGCACTGGTAGTGGGTTTCCCCTCTCTTGTGGGCCCAGCCAGAGGAAAGGGGACCCTCAACCCGGCACAGGGCTGCCAAAGGGGACCTCTTGCACATTTGGCCACAGGTTGACTGCATCATTTCAAGGTCACCTGGGCCTTTTCCTGCCTTCAGGAAGGATCTGCCTGAGCCTGGAAAGAAATGATCTTCCCAGTGCTTCATGACCCAGATGCCACCTCCTGCCTGGGGACTGTCAGCACACAAGGCCTCCTTCATTCCTGGTACCATGGGTGAGGGTGGGGGAGGCCTGGAGTCCCTCAGGCCGCCCAGTTTAGTCTAAACCAAAGTTGTCTATACGCCTTAGAAGCAGCTCCAGAGAGATGCCCATTTTCCATCCAACACAGTGGACACACATAACACATCTCTGAAATGAAAACAAGTTTATGGAAAAATATTCCCCTTACAGGTATGATATTCTGATCTGATCTAGTCTGTTCTAGTCTACTATTGTATTTTACTCCATTGTGTTCTATTCTATTCTATCCCATTCTATTATGGGAGACAGAGGAGGAGAGGGACTGTGGAGGTGATGGGCTACCCCACAATCACCTTGTAAGACTCTTCAAGACAGAATTTCTTCTTACACAAACGGCAGCTGCTCTGAGCGAGCCCTCCTGCGTCTCCCCCGTGGGTCCCAGGCTCTTGGCAGCAGAGACTATATCCTATTCTCCCAGTACCCCTCCCCCCTGCCCCCCCAGCTCCTGGGAAAGACTCAGCATTCTCAGAACCAGCACACCTTGAAGAAGGTCCATCTATTAAAGCCGGAAGTGCAGGGGACAAAAGTGCAGCTCCCAGTCTGAGTTTTGCTACATCTCTGTCATTTGCATATTGAAGCCCTTCCTCCTGGATTCACTGGCCATGGGCTCTCAGGGGTCTTAGGGACTAAGTCTTAGTTCCTATAAAGGTGACAGCACTCAGGGGACCCCAGAATCTTGGGCTCAGAGTCTGACAGATCCTATGAGTGAATAAATGAAAGGCCCATTGTCCAGTGGTAGGAGCAGAGACTTTGGAGTCAGTGAGACCTGAGGGTAGTTCTGACTTTGTCACTCATTTACTAGCTGTGTGGTCCTGGGTAAGTCACTTGGTCTCTCTGAGCATCCGTTTTCTTGTCTATAACAATAGTGATAATAATATCCATTGCAGTTTTGAGATCAAGATTAAAAAAAGGGCTTATAAAGTAAAATGTCTGGTACACCTTAGGAATTTAATAAATAACACCTGTTATTATTATGGTTAATAGTGATGACAATAATACTAAAGAGAAGGTTTCAGAACAGCTGTGGGTACTTCAAATATGCTATTATTACTCACCTTTTGAGGAGATTTGTTTGCCATTGTCTTCACCCTCATCAATATCTGGAGGAGAAAACAAACTATAAAAGTAATAAACGGCTTTGAAAGGAAACAACATGTGCACGCACGCGCGCGCACACACACGCGCGAAAAACAAAACCAAACACATGGGTCCTCGAAAAACAGTCAATTTGATTACAGCAAATTTTTTTTAATTTGGAATTTTAATTATGTACATAAATAACAACATGAGAACGAGTTCTAAGGCTAGACATTCTCTCTAGGTGAAAGGATTTCCGATTAGTCCACTTGTAATATGGTATCACCCAAGATAACAAAGAAGCCTAGCATAGTTTATCCTGAAGAAGAAAGCCAATTTACTACATTCGGTACTGACTTCTCTGCCATTTTTCTGTAGAAATATTGGTTTACCCCATGGAGTTTTCAATGTTTACCTATAACTGATTAAAATGGGCAGAGCATGCAGCATTCTATTTATTTCCAGGTGAATTCTTCACATTTCCTGGCTTTTGAAAGTTCTCCTTCCACAAATCTTCTATGACTATGTATCCTCGTAAACCCCAGTCATATAATTTCTCCCCACTGACCTGGACAAATACGATGGCTTGTTGTGGGTAATAAAGAGAGGCAGCAAGTCCCATGAATCCAGGCAGATATACCAGCTTCTTTATTTTTGAGCCTCTAGCCAAAAGAAGTCCAACAATGCCAGCAAAACTGATAACACCAAGTCTTGGAAAAAATCCAGGAGGTGCATTTTGGAGATATTCATAGCTGCCTAACCCCCATTGAACCAAGCTCTGCATCTTAGGCTTAGTTTGGGAGTACATTTCCTGACACCAACTTTTTTTTTTTTGACAGACAGAGATCACAAGTAGGCAGAGAGGCAGACAGAGAGAGAGGGGGAAGCAGGCTCCCCGCTGAGCAGAGAGCCCGATGCGGGGCTCAATCCCAGGACCCTGGGATCATGACCTGAGCCGAAGGCAGAGGCTTTAACCCACTGAGCCACCCAGGTGCCCCCCTGACACCAACTTTTATACAGCTCGCAATAATGTCGGAGATGTGAAATGCTTTCCTCAAGTGGGGTCCTTGGCTCTTCCACATATTTAGAATGACCCTCGGGAACCGAGTAGAGTGAAAGCTCATTAACCTTCACAGAAGCTTTGTGAGGTGAGTCCTTTTTAGGTGACGCATAGACTTTGAAGGTGAGCAGACTCAGGCTGGCCGGCCCCACAGCCCTCTGAATTACCTTGAACATGTTGCTGGCAGAGGTGGCTCCTGCCGATTACAGCAAAATTTTAAGTGATAGTTGCATTCTTGGAAAATGAGCAGAATGGCTCTGGTACCAATCAAGGGCTAGTGGTGCATTGATTAGGTACACTCTGAGTCTCTGGGGCACTCCAAGTATATGTACCAGAATAAGCATGAAGAATGTTGGTGGAGAAGGATAAGAAGAATGGGCAAGGTGGGCTGTGAAAATTCATGCTAGTAAGGTCTGGTGTGTATTCTCTTTTCCTTCAGTGGATGATCTTTCTAGCATACATCACATAACTCCTAAGTGGTTTTGAGAATTTAACTTTAGCACTTAGTGTATAGAACTCTGAACTTTTATGTTGGTTTAAAAATTGAATGAAATTTATTGACATGTGAACCTATTAGTGAGTTTTTATTCTCATCAATATACACGTTTTGGGTAAGTTACTACCTTTGAAGATAAAATCATGCCTTTCCTTTGCTGTCCACTAGATGGCATAATGGGACCACTGTAGAGTCCACTTGTTCCATGGCTGCTCCTTACCCTGCCGATTTCAAATGGGCAAACTATTTTTATTTTTCTTTCAAACTGGATTTTTCACTATTTCCTACAATTATGCAAAACTTTAAAAAAAATTTTTAAAGAGTATGCACTCCTGCATGCTCGCACAAACAGGGTGAGGGGCAGAGAGAGAGGAAGAGAATCTCAAGGAGACTCCACACTGAGCATAGAGCCCTAACCAGGGTTTGATGTTAGGACGCTGAGATCCTGACCTGATAGGAAATCACGAGACTGACACTTAACCAACTGAACCACTCAGGTGTCCCAATCATGCAAAAATTTTTAAGGCCACCTCTATCACATTTTCACTTGAGGGGCAGTGGAGTGGAGACCTGGTTTAAAATCATGGACAAGCCTTTCCTTTCCTTCCCTGGAGGAAAGAATGTGGTTAACAAGTTGTTAATGATAATATGCAAACAGCCATCTAGGCACTAGTCTGAAAGCTTCATCTCATTTAATTCTCACAGTAAGACTATTCAGTATCATCTGCATTTTATCAAATAAAGGATGAAAAGGACTTAAGCACAAGGAAGTGACATAATTCATCCAAAAACCCAGAGCTGGGTTTGAGCTGTGAGCTCTTCACCACTATGCTGTGCTGTTAAGGACGGTCCTTCTCTGCCTTCTGGGAGTTAACTAATGGGGTCACCTTATGCCTAATGCACCCCAGCAGCTCTCTGCAGCCCACACGACAGGAGACATCTCCAGGTTATTGCCACAGGTAATATGCTGGATTAGGATTGTTTGCTTGGTGGCCTGGGGTGTAAATGTGGACATCAGAGCTGATCTATATCTAAAGTGTCCATTTCCTTGGCAAACTTGCCTTTGGCCAAGAAGAAGGAATCACTCGTAAGCATTCAATTAATAACTTTCAGATTGCACACATTCTCACGGCATCTTTTATTTATTGATTTATTTATTTATTTAATTTATTTTTTAAGTGTCTTTTCTGTTGTCAAAATCCTTGCCAGCTTCTAGGGCAGTCTGAGCTTGTTGTCTTGGATGTTCAGAGCTGCTAGGAGCTGAGGTCAAAGAAACTGCAGAACTGGGAAACCACCTCCAAGCTCAGCAGTGAGCTGCCACCATATGTTTTGAGTTGGAACAGGCCCACAGGTGGGTAGTAGGACAAGCTGATGTAGTTAGCTAGAGTAAGTCAGAGCTTGTCCACTTTACCAGAAATGGAATGGGAATTTTTCAAGAAGACTAAAATATGAAGACCCCTAACCTGTTCATGTATTATGGCTCCAATTTTTTTAAATATGCATTTCTATAGATGAAAAGTTTGGGGTAAAATATTTACAGTGATTATTTCCAGTAATGTTTGATTCATACTTTTATTTGTCCTTTTCTTCGTTACATGCTAAATTTTTTATAATCTGCATATATATTTTTTATAATCAGAAAATGAAGCTTAAAATACTGAAAACTTATTGGTCAGGTATCTAAAATAACCCACAATCTCACCAGAGAAGACTGTTTGCCAGACCATATTTTCTTTATCATAAGACTACATGAAATCATTCTGAATAACAACAAAATAACAAAATAATAAAAGTAACCAAGTCTAGGCCTAAAAGGAAATACCCCCAAATCAGCAAACAACCCTTATGTGTTGCACTAAATGGCCCACAGATACTAAAGCAGCCTCCCCCAACCCCCAAGACTCTGAGGAACTAGACAAGGGACCCACATTCAGGCCTGCACTTAGGCCTGTAGCTAAGGATTAGTAGACAGTCTCAACTTCTGTTACCTTTGTGGCACAGTGGTCATTCTCATTTTACGTATCTTTCAACAGCCAGGGTTTTGAAAACCAGGGGTGCAACTAAACTCAGAATTCAAAGTTTTCAGTGCAATTCTGGCTAGTAAAATACTATTAGCGTCACTCCTTCATGTCAACCAATAGCACCAGAAAGAGCATACTCCTCTGTTCTGTGACAGTCCCATCTTGAAATTGCTTTGGTTCTTAGGAGAGTTCCCACCTCAGTGCCTTCTTCCCCTGTCCAGGCCTTACCCCTACCACCATGACGAGTCCCTCCACTCTGTCCTCATGCCAGAAGCCATGCAGGCAAAGAAAGCAGTTGCCACACGGGAGGAAGTAATTGCTCCTACTCATCATGAGGAGGTCAGGCTGTTACCTAACAGTGTCAGAGAGGAATGTGCCTCATACTCAGGTGACCCACTGGGACATCCCCCAATACCTCCACACCCAGTTGTCACTGTAAATAGGCGAGTAAAGAACAATAGCCAGACAAGAGCCTGGGACAGCCACTGGGCTGATGAGAAGGCGGGGTACCTAGAACGAGTGGGAGGAGATGGTAGTAACAGTACAACCTAAAGACCAGCCGCCACAGCAGGTGGCATAGACTCAAGTTCAGCAGGACTCTTACTGTGTCCCTGGTGCAAACTCCCCCTTGGCAACCAAGACCTCTAGACTCACTGAGACCAACGCTGCAGGGATGGGGAAGACAAATGCCCTGTGCAAGTCCCTAGAGAGTGGTAATGAATAAGGTAACAACTCATTCAACCTCTTGCCTCCCAGATTCACATATTCTGCTTACTGAGGGCACAGTGCCATAACATGACCATGGGTTTAAGGTATATACTGCACCCTGAAGATTAGCACCCCAACCCCACAGTGTCATGTCTAAATTATTGCACATCCTCGCTTTCAAGAGGCTATTCCATGCCTCTTGTCAGGCTGGCAGCTTCTAATGTGGTGGTGTGTGGAAGGACTGTAGGTCAATCCTGCGGTCATATTTCTACAGCTGAGTCTGTCCATTAGAGCAATTTTGTATGGTTGATCAGATGCTACATGAGTCCTCGAACAGTGACGCATGGAGACACTGTGAGCAGGAAAGGCACACAGGTCAACCCTGCTCAGAGTGAATTATTGTACTTTCCAGCCTAGAGGGGGTCTGATGGAATCGACCATTCTCCAGGGATAGTGTCCAACTGGGAGCTCAGCATCCGTCTGAGCTGGCCAGGTGGAAATTCAGCATGGCTGTTGGTCTTGACAACAGGAAGGCCATGCTGCTGGGCCCATGCATAGCTTCCCACTCTACTGTGAAGCAGTCTCTCTGAGCTCACTGTGCAGGTACTGGGGTACCAAGGAGAAAGCCAGCTGACACCTGCTGGCCAAGTCATCCAGTCAGTTTAGTTGTTTGGCACCTTTTCTGCAATGGATGGTCTCTGATGGGCATGAACACAGTATGAAGATCCTCACATTTTGAGCTTGAGTCTGTAGGTCTCTGTGCTTCTTCCCCAGTCAGATCACGTTATAATTAAATGCTAATTATTATTCTGGAAGGATGGTGGGGAAACATCTTGAGAAGGGCGAGCATTGTCTTGCATGTCTCATTTGAGGATTCTGCATGATCTTTGGGGGGAGAAGGATCTTTCTCCCAACAAGGGGGTGGTGGGACACTTATGCCAGCCCATAAGCAGGGGATTTGGGGCCTAGACCCAGATGTCCTTATCTCAAGCATTACAGTCCCACATCTTCCCTATCAGGGCATGAACTGCCTGCTCTTCTACTAGCACTAGGAGGCCCAAATGATCAGGCAGCAGATTTGCCTAGGCTGAGAATTCATCCTTCTCTCACACACTGCCATGCTGTAGAAGATGAGAGGCTGAACGTTGGCAAGGAAGCCCTCTGATTCTCAGATGGGGCTTTAAATTGGTGGTAAATCTGAGGTCACCCTTTTCTTCACTCTCTTCAGTGCACCCATGGTACTTAGCAATAGCCTCCAAATTCTGTGCTCCTGATACTTAATAGTCTCCCCAGACTTCTCAAATGTAGAGACTTTGCACCAACTAGTACATCCCTGTCCCCCTGTATATGATCCCAGATGTCACCACAGGTGAAGATCTTAGTCACTGAACCTCTACCACAAACCAGGGCCCAGGGCTTTCCACACTCTACCTAACCAGAGCAATGGAATCCTCATTGCCACCTGGCCAGCAAGTGACCTAATAACACCAGAATCCCATCCTTATAGGACCTTTCCTGGTTCTGCCTTGCGTCAGGTTTCCCAGAAGCAGGTTGCACAAGTGAGTGGTGGAGAAAGGGCTTTCAGAGGAAACCGGTCAGAGCACTGAGGACAGAAGACAGGGCAGGGAAAAGTGGGCTCTGCTTAAGTCTGGCGCCAGCCTGATCTCCTGGCAAACCCAGACCATAGATGGCACCCCAAGTCAGTCAGCCATTGGCTGGCTGGCCATAAGTTGTCCTTGAAGGAAGCCATAACTTCTCAGGCATTTTTCTGGCTGGACAGCTCTGGTCAGCTCTAGTCGGCAATCCTCCGAAGGGCACAACTGAGAGCTGCTAGCAGCTAACCTCACAGCAACTGGGCAGTGGGTGTCTTCAGGCCCTATGACACTACAGTGTGTGGATATTTTTTTTATTAAAAAAATGAATATTTTTTTTATTTTTAGAGCAGGTTGAGGTTTACAGAAAAATTGAGCAGAAAAGGCAGAGTATTCCCAATCACCCCTCTCCACTGGCTCCCTACACAGTATCTCCTATTATTAACATCTTGCATTCGTGTGGTACGTTCATTACAATTAGTGAACCAGCACCGATGCATTATTATTAACTAAAGCCCACAGTTTACATTAGGGTTTACTCTTTGTGCTGGACAGTTCTATGCATTCTGACAAATGCGCAATTTCATGCTCCACCATTATGATTTCATACAGAAGTTTCACTGCCTTAAAAATCTCTTGTGTGCAGCCTGCTCATGTCCTCTCCCCCATATCCTGGTAACCACAGATCATTTTACTGTCTCTATAGTTTTGTCTCCTCCAGAGTGTCAAACAGTTGGAATCATGCAGTATGTATTTTCAGAAGGGATTCTTTTGCTTAACAATTTGCCACTTCTGTTTCTTCGTGTCTTTTTGTGGCTTGATGGCTCATTTCTTTTTATTCCTGGATAATATTCCATTGTATGGATATATTGTAGTTTGCAATTCATTTGGTTAAATACCAAGGAATAGGATTGCTGGTCTGTATGGTAAAACCATTTTTAGTTTTTGTCAGAAACTGTCAAACTGTACCATTTTGCATGGCCACCAGCAGCTGTGAATGAAAGTTCCTATTGCTTCCTATCATCACCAGCATTTGGTGTTGTCAGTGTACTATAGACTACTTTTCACACTGTAACTCTTGAGTTCTGCTTCTTGTTTTGGGGTCTTTTTCACTTTGTTTTGTTTTGAGGTTTCCGCCAATCTTCTGAAGAGCTGACTGGTTTTTGTGAAACTAATTCGTGAAAAAGTCATCAAAGTTCACATGAACATTGTGGTTATTCCCTTGTATCTTCCTGACTTCTGAAATCAGCCTGCTCTCCTAGCACAATCACACACAGCCACACATAAATGTAAACTGTCTACAGCCAAGTCTACACTAAGACACACTTAACTGTTATCCATTCTTCACCTTGCACCTTTGAGTCTGGTCACTTCAAATTAGCAGGGTACAGAAGGAAAAGAAGAAAGGCACCTGGACAAACCACATCCTTATGCTTTAGGTGAAGGAGTTACAACTCCCTCAAACAGCTCACATCTCTAAATTTATAGATTATGCCACTGTGTTGACCAGTGTATGCCAGTATTGGTCTTCAAGCAAGGGGTCTTTTAAAAATCTCTTTAAGAGATTCTTGGCACATGAAAAAAGGAGTTAAAGGTTTCAAGAACAAAATATACTGTAGATAAGGTTGATAGGCTCAATCTTCCAATAGTCTTCAGTCCTTGAAATATAGTCCTTGAAAATCTGAAGAGTTGCCTGTTAAATAAATAACCTGGAATGGAATTATCAATATACATTTTACTCATCTGTAGGGCCCCAGCTGAAAGGAGAGTCTGGTATCAGGGGTCTTCCTTCATTTTGAGCTTTTCAAAATAGAAAAG